AATTTTAAAAATATATTATGCTTATGTGAATTCATCTATATTTATAGAAACTCAAAATGTAAATTTTTAGGGGTCACGTTATTTCGTCAAATATTTGATAGGTGTGAACGTGCCTTAACGTGCAGAACTTTTGGTCAATATCCAGAAAACAGATAGATATTGCATTTTAATATCTTCATTTATATAATAGTTTTTATTAAAGGAGGATTTTATTGTAATTTACAATAAATAGTAATATCTGTCAACATTTGCTTAAAGTTATAACACACAATTAATAACAAAACTTTGAGTTTTTTAAATAATAAATCTGAATTCAATAGAAGAAAATCAAAAGATAATTTCAAAATTCCTTGAAAATCCTATTTAATTAAAAAAAGCTTTAGAAAATTTCCCATTATTATAGCAATTTGCATATACATATGTATGTATGAACATATACAATTAAATTTTTAATAATTTAATAATACCAACTTATTATTTATTAATAATTTTCACAATTAAAAATATGCAATAAAATTAATTGTAAATCAACTGTTTACAATATTTACATATAATTTTTCTTGTTATTTTTTTAATTTAAAGAATTTCTGTTTCAAAACAAAAATATTATATTTTTAAAATTTAACATGTTTATCTTGAGTTACAGTACTGTGAGTTTCTGCTGCTAATGTGATGTGTTAGCTGCTGTTTTTGTTGTGTCTTATTCCCAACATTATTTTTGTTTGCATTTTTTCCTACATTTCATTTTGAAAAGAAATTGCAAATTTTATAAATTTTGAAGGCGTTACCTTTTTGTCATTATTATATGGCCAAAATACTAAGACGAAGAAGAAAAATTTCTCTAACAAATCTATATATTTTCTATTAAACTAAACTACTACTACTACTTGCTACTGCCACAACTACTATAGCCAAGACATCAGACTCTACTACTACGGCTATGGGTACAATAACAACAATAACTAATACTCAAAAACAAAATGTTGTTTCTGTTTTGCAACACCATTGCGCATCTAACAAGACCAAGTTTTGTAAAGAAATAGAAAAAAAAACAAATCTAACGAAGAAAGAAAAATGAGCAGTGTTTTTCCTTGCAAAACAAAAAAAAAAAAAAGAAAAGCTCAATTACAAACACTCTTACATGTTTTGTATTATAAACAACTCTGTTTATAAAAATACATTAACTAAAGTTGTTTTTGTTTTTTCTGCTTTACAAACTAAAGAGTTTGTTGAAATGAAATAAGAGTATAAAAATATTCATATAAAATAACAAAAAAAAAAAATAATAATGTTATAAAAAATACACAAGTGAGTGTAATTCCTTTTAGTTGGTTTTACCTTTATAACTCTATTTATTGTTGTTGTTTTCATTGTGGGCTATTATTTTAATTTTTCTGCTGCTGTTGTTGTTGTAGCTGCTGGGAAAAAACAACCCAATCCCACCCACTTTTTTGTTGTTAATACAAAAACGGCAATAACAACAACCACATGAAAAGAAACCTAAACAAACCAACCCACCTTTTTGTTCTTGTGTTGCTTGCTGTCTTTGCTACAATATTCGCTTATAAAACCAACAACAACAACAAGAACAAAAACAGTAAAAAAAGAAAAGAGTGTAAAGCGTTAATGTTGAGTTGGTTTTGTTGTTGTATGGTTAATACATACTCGCACATACATTTTTCAACAATTTTGACTGAACAAAAATTGTGATGCAAAACTGCCACTCACTCAAGCGAATATAACAAATGGGGATTGGTTTTTGCTAAAAGCTTGTTGCTGTATTTATTTCATGTCGACGACGTTGTTGATGTTGACGGAAAATTCAAGAGTTGCCACTTGGTGTGGAAAGTTGTTGTGGCGGAAGTGTTTGCCAATTGCCAAATTGCGATAAAGGACATTTTTAATATAAATTTTAAATTTAGTTTTTTAAGCGTTTGTAACATCCAAAAATATTGGTAATACCTTAGAGTATACCAATCGGTTAAGAATCACTTTCTGAGCCGATTAAACTATGTATGTGTTCAGGTCGCAATTGACCCAAGGACGAATGGTTGAAATAGGTCCTTTTTTTTACTTAGCCCTCATATATGTATTCCCTTGGCCCCATATAACCCCTTTCAGAAAATCATTTTTTGTCAACAAATTGTTATAATATTTCGGAATTAAGGCAAAAACAACTTAAATACTTTAATATTAAAAGTAATTCCCGTTTTTAGCATATGGTCGACCATGCCCGACTATACATTCTTGCTACAAAATGTCTCTGGCCTTATGTTAAGAATCCACATTAGTATTTAATTATTCCCTTTGTAAAATGTTTCTTTACTCAGAATATTTTCCCCAAAAGGACACACATTTTAACCGTCCAAAAGTGACAAAAATTTAACCCCAAACAAATAAGTAGAAGTAGGTACATATTTTTGGTCAGTTCAGTGACAGTCATGTTAAATCATAATTTTCGGAATCTTCAGGACATTATCTGTTGATGTGTTAGACTCGTATAGTCGATTGCCAAAGATCAGAATAAAATAAGTGGATATTAATGCATCTTAAATTTGTATTGGCTCTGTGGTTCCCTCCTAACCAAGGGGGGGACCATGACTTCGAATCTGGGGCGCTACGAAAGAAGTTCCCAATGAACTAAATCCCCAAATCGATAATGTACTAAGTCCCTAATTATTGGGGAGTTAATTCGTTATGAATAAATATTAGAAATAAATTAGGACCCCATTAGTTTGAATTAAACTCCCAAATTCGAATGAACTAAGTCCCCAGTTTCTTTTTTAAATAATGACAACATTTCATCTTTTTACATATAAAACAGAAAAGTTATGATATGATAAAATTTCGATACACCCCAGAGGAGAAAGATCTTGCGCCCGGCCGCAAATGGTAAAATAGGGAGTTACTTCGTTATGAACTAACACCCAAATGTTGAGAATGAAATAAAGCTGCACAATGTACAATTGTACAGCTTTAAAAGTGTACTTTTTTCTATCCGATTGTACCAAACTTAAACTGATATCAATATAAAGCATAAGCACTTCAAGCCGACTTCTTCAGTCAGTAAACTTATCAATATTTGTATGTATTAACAAGCAAGTTCATTAATCAATGTACTAGTCCATTGACTGCGCAATAGGCTATTATATAGGAAGTTAAATGTCTAGTTTAAAACTATAGATTAGTCATTAGACTGTTCCGATGTTTAGTAAAATTTGACCGATCGAATTGTATCAAAAAAAGTACAATTGTACCAATTTTGCCCCGATTCAGAGAATGTTGAGAGCATCATGAGCTTAGACTGTCAAGATTTCTTACAGATTAAAATTAGCTTGATATTTAATATTTGTCATACCACGTTTTGAAAGATCATACTATTTGAAAATCTATGTTTTTAGGTTCAACTGTAACTAACTTAGAACTGCTGGCCCATTAAACCTAATATAGGCAAATCGGATTTCAATTCCCTTCCCGTAGTTGCCAATTCATTATCAACAGGTTAATGGGAAATTTGAGATAATTATTGTTTCCCAACTGAATTTATATACAGAGGGAATAGGAAATATACACGCCTGGTACCAAATTGACACCAAAGAGTTTATAATTTTTCAAAACCTACCGTTGTCAAAATATATATATACGTACGACAACACTATGTAATGTTGACAACGCAACGTTGTCAACATTGCAACAATTCGTTGTCGAAATCTAAATTTTATACACATCCGTTGTCTAATTGTTAAAAAACGTGGTAAGCTCACAATTGGCAACGGATTGTTTGAAAGTAAACTGAATCGAATTAGATGCCTATCACCTAGAAAATGGGGCTATAAGGCATACGTTTTAGTGCTTATTCGTTAGACTAGTTAGTAATCAGTTTGGATAATTAATTTTCGTGATAGACATAGATGTTATTTTTATTTGCAGAATGTCCATACCTTCAGCCTTTCAAGGTAATTTCCCCAAGCTTTCTTAGGAGCATCCATCATTTCGCACTTATTGGCAACACTCTGCAGGGAGCCAACTTAAAAACAAATACTACAGCAACAACAACAAGAACACACTCATATAAGCCATTATACCTTACGTTTCATTTATACAATAGCAAATGCTTTAAAACAGTCAAGCAAAATTCACTTCAATCTTGTTTTTTTTTCATTCGTTTCTTGTATTTTTTTGGTTTTGCCTTTTTTTAACACACAATATGAAGTGATTATAAGCCGTCTCATTTCATCTAAAGACAAATAAATTTCAAATAAAAAATTGCAACAACAATAATAACAATAACATTTAAAAAGAACAGCAGAAAAAAAAAACCAAACAAATACTAATGTAAAAAATTAACTATAATATAATATTAAAGAGTAAAATTTAAAGAGTCAAAGAGCTTTCAACAAATAAGAGTATTTCATAAAGAAAATTAAGAGCAAAAATATATTAATTAAAAAATTTAATTTTGCTAATAGCGCATAAATTTAAGGAATTTTGAAATATATTAAATTATTTATTAAAAATGATTTATTTGTTTGTAAAAAATAGCTTAAATGAGTAAAGAGTTGTTAAAGATAAATTCGCCGTATACTAGAGCGAGAGTGTTAAATGATTGTGCTCTTAAATTATGAGTTCGTGTTTTACAATAAAATGTGATTTATACACATGCGCTTTTCTCTTTAGTTGGGTGTTATTGCTGCTCTGTGGTCGTAGTTGTTGTTGTTGCTGCTGTGCTGTACTGTATTTTATTTTGTCAGATGCTATATTGTCTCTTTCTGTTGTATGTTATTTATGGCCCTCATAAACAGGTAGTTTTCCTTGTCTTACCCATACGTTTTAACAGGCAGGCATTTAAAAATAAAATTTATTTGAAAATATCTGAGTTTTAATGGCACAATTGTTGCTTACCTACCTACAATCGTACAGACATACAGCTACATCTATCCATCCATCTATGTACCTACCGACCGACCGACCGAGCAACCATCCATTAAAACCAAAGAAAACATATGAGAGTCAATCTACTACCACTACACTGCTAGTATCTCAACTTGTAGAAGCAGAAGAAAGCAACAACAGCAACATTAATATCTGTGTGTAGAAAAATGACGTATACACTCTCACGTTTTTTGAGGAAAAAGTATCTGTGTGTTTGGTCGTTTATTTACCCCCGCCAAGTTTAGTTTTCGAAGTGATTGACAAGCCCAGTGTGTATTTGCCTTCGAAACGCGTACGACGTGCTGTGCTGTGTTATAGACGACACGACGAGTAACAAAAAGAACAACAAGAAGACAACACAAAACAACAATAATAATAAAAATTTATAACAATATTTAAAAAAAAAAACAAAATATTATTATTTATTAGAAAAAATATTTTACAAAACATAAATAACTTCCAAACATTAATGCTTGAAAGTTTATTGTTTCAAAATAGAAAAAGTTTTTCCTTAGAAAAAAACGCAAAAATAACGTCGGCAAAAAATTTTTGCAAAAAAGTCTAAAAAACAACAACAAAATATGTTGAAGTAATAAATATTGAAAACAAAACTTTAAACAAAAGTATAACACAGCATTTTGTTTAACTGAAATTAAAAATAATAAACGTGAAAATTGTGTAACGGTAACGGGTTTTAGAGAAAAAAAGGAACTTAAAAACAAATACAACAATAAAAAATATTGAAAAGCAGTTGAAAGCTACAACATTTATAAACAAAACAAAAAAACATTCAAAATAAACGGTTAAAAAAGCCGTCGCTTTTTTTCGCGCGCGCGATTTTTTCGTTTTGGTTTTAAAATTAATTTTTATTATTTTTTGGTTTAAAATAAAGAAAAAACACTAATGTTTGTTTGTCTAAAAATCCTAATTTTAGAGGAACTGTGATAACAAAATAATAACTGGAAAAAAGCAAAAAATTTGTTTTCTTAACACAACTTATGTATACGATTTAAACATTAAAGAAACAACAACAAAATTCCTCTTCGTTATATATTTTTGTTCAAAATTAATTAAAGACCTTGCTTTATTTCAAACAAAAAAGAAAAAAAATTAACACTTCAATAACAAAAAAAAAAATGGATTTATGACATCTACTTCAGAAAATAACAACAAACAAACAAGAAAAATCTACCAAAAAATCTATCTACTGAAGAACAAGTCTACACCACGCAACCCTACAATTTAAAAATAAATTATTTAAATGAAAGCAACAACAACAACCATTTTTACTTAAAACAACAAAATCTATATATTGAAAATTTGTATACGAAAAAGAAAATTTCAAATTTCATTTTTAAAAAGAAGAAAATCCAAAAAGAATTAAAAAATAAAATATAAATGTGCCTAACCTATAACCAAACAACAACAACATAATATTTTAACATAACAAAATAATTTAAATAAAAAATAACAAGCAAGCTAAGCAGAAATTTTTTTAAATTTTTAGTTTATTTTTTTTGTAAAAAAAGTGACAAGTGATTTTTTTTGTTTTTTTTTTTCTCAAAAAAGAATAATAATCTTGCTTTTAATTTTGAAAAAAGAAAGTGCATAACTCAATAAATTAATAACTACAACTATAAACGGAAAAATATTTATTTTAAAATTAGTAAAAATATAAAATTCTACACTTCAATTTTCTTCTTTGCTGGGAATAAAGTTGAGTGTAGTTTTTTCTTTTGTTTAAATTCTTTTTACTAAAAAGTGGCACAAATCGGGTTGGACGTAGCTCCTAGAGCATTAATGGCTCAACCTAGGGTGAGTATTATTGTGAATGTTTTCTATAAAAAAAATATATATATAAATATTAGGACACACAAAGAAAAAGCTGTTATGGGAAAAGTGAAATTTAAAAAAAAAAATTTTTTTGAAAATTTTTTTGCGACGGTAAATTTTTTTTTAAAAATTGTAAATTGTTATTTTTGCGAAATATCATTTCTTAAGTTTATGTTAGCATTTTTATCAAGTTTTGCAAACTGACATCTTTACTTTGTTGTAGTAAATTTTCTAAGTTAATTGTTTTTGCAAACACAATTATTATAAATTGCTTCAGATCTGTTTCAAATTTGAGAATATTTTGTTTATTGGTTTTGAATTTTTAAAAATTTTGAGAAATTTTATTAATTTTAAGAATTTTGTGAAATTTGAAGAATTGTTAAAATTTATGATGAACTATTTGTTAGAATATGTTTAGCATGTTATTGATCATACTTTTCTTAATAATATTTCCTAAATTTTCGTTTAAAAGAGAAAATTATAATGATCTCTAGCCCTGATTATCTTCTGGTCTGGTTTTATTTTATCCTTAAGTTAAACTGACAGTTTTCATATAAAAATTATTTTAAACGGCAGAATATATGCCGGTCCAACGATAACTTAATATTGATATACACAGCAAAAAAAGAACTTCCAAAGAAGCGAAAAAGAAGTAGAATTTACTCCATGAAAGTACTGAAAAAGACTTGAAGAAGTGATGATTTTAACACAGGCTTGTCATAGGAGGGATGTCCTTTTTTCCTTCCCATAGGAGGGATGCCCTTTTTGATTCCAAATTCACTACTTCTGAAGTCATTCTTAAGAAGTAATTATTATGCTCTTTTTTTGGAAGTTATTCGTAAGTGAAATTGTATTATTATGGAATACAAATAATTTGACTTAAATAATATTAACATTAATAAGGGTAATAGATACATTTAAACACACAAAAATATAAGAACAAAAAAATATATCTTTAGCATTAAAAAAAATAAAATTATTTTCACTTCTTCGGAAGTCATTAAACATCACTTTCTCAAAAATTACAAAAATTCACTAATTGCTACTTTTGAAGTGGTGATAAATGTTATTCTTTTGGAAGTACTTCGCTTTATTTTTGCTGGGTAACGGGCCTTAAAACTTTTAACCAGTAGCTTTATTGAAATGAAGTTTTAAAGTTTATACTCACAATGTCCTGATACTGTTTAATCCAAAGATTTGTTTCATATTTTTATTAAAAATTATAGATCATGTCTTATAATTGTTGATGTTGAAATTTCCAAAAGATTTGTTTATAACTGTCAAAGTAATAGAGATTAAAAGAATTTCACAAAATTTCAGATTTTCCTTAAAAATTGAAAACTCTCCCAATTCACACAAGATAAACATACATAAATTCTCTATAACTCTATAACTTTAAATACCTGATCGTTTTAAAGAAACTGCAACTTTTTTCATAAAAATAAATTTTAATATTTTAGTAAAAAGACCTAATACTGTTTAATACAAAAGTTTTTTTTTTTTGATATTTTTATTAAAAATTATAGATCATGTCTTATAATTGCTAATGTTGAAATTTGTTTATAACTGTCAAAGTATTAGAGATTAAAAGAATGCAACAAAATTTCACATTTTCCTTAAAAATTCAAAACTCTCCTAATTCACGCATGATATACATACATAAATTCTCTATAACTCTATAACTTTAAATACCTGATCGTGTTATAATAGTTTATAAAGATTTCTCTTAAAAATTTTGAAAAAAATTAATTAAGTAAAACTTTTTTCATAAAAATCAATTTTAATATTTTATTGAAATGAAGTTTATACTCATAATGCCCTAATACTGTTTAATCCAAAGTTTTTTTTTGATATTTTTATTAAAAATTACAGATCATGTCTTATAATTGTTAATGTTATAATTTCCCAAAGTTTTGTTTATAACTGTCAAAGTAATAGAGATTAAAAGAATTTCACAAAATTTCAGATTTTCTTTAAAATTCAAAACTCTAACAATTCACGCATGACATACATAACTAAATTCTCTATATAACTCTATAACTTTAAATACCTGATCGTGTTATAAGAGTTCATAAATATTTTTTTTTTTTAAATTTAAAATAAATTTGAATTCGAAAACAAAAACTTTTTTGATAGAAATAAATTTTAATATTTTATTGAAATAAAGTTTTGAAATCTTTTTTATTTAGTGCTAAATTTATTACTTCTCTTTTTATTTAATTAAAAATTTATGTCTATTTTTTTCTAAATATTTTAATTAAATATTCAATTTTTAACCCTTATTAATTATTTTTAAGCTATTTGTTGTTGTTGCAGTTTTTGTTTAAATTTTCAAAACAATTGTTTTTTATAAAGTTTTTTTTGTATATGTTCTCTTGTTAATTTTGTTGAGTATTATATCAGAATTGTTTTAACTAGTTCTAATTACTGATAAAATCTTTAAAAAAAAAAGTTCTACATGGCTTGATCAATTATCTTTAGGCACGCAGCCAGTGTTAGGAGTTTGGTAGCGAAAACTATGTAACAAACTTAAAGATTCAAAATCATTATAAAATGCATTCACAATAAAATTTTGATAAATTTTATAAAAAAGATAAATGAATATTTTTTGTAAAGAGAAAATTTTAAATATAATACTTTTAGTTTTTTTTTTCAATTTATAAAATTGTGCTAAATTTTATTTTTAACGGAAATTATATTTAATTAAATTAACATGGTTTTTATTATTTTCAAACATAAGCTGTTATGTTTTGAAAAAAAAATGTGCGTGAGTGAGCAGAGAAAAAGTTCAAGTGTTTGCGTAAATTTTAATTTTTTAAAATTTTTTTAAAAACTTAATGTATAACACAAATAGCATAAACTTAAGAAATAAAATTTTGATAAAGAAAAAAATTAAAACACACATAGTGTGTATTAAGAAAATAAATTGCGTGCTGATGGTTCATTTAATTTAATGAGCCACGGCGTGCAGCACAAACTTATCTAAATGATTTTTTTTTTTCAAAACAAAAAAAAAAAAAAATTTTTAAGCTTCTTTATATTTGGCTTATTTTTTTGCTTAACAAAAAATATGTAACGTTTTCTTAAATTAAAAGTAATTTTGTTTAAGTATTAAAAATTAAACTAACAAATGTTAAGAAAACAAAATTAAAAAAAAAAAACAATTTTGTGTTTTTTTTTTTTAAATAAACAGCAAAGGAAGTTTAAGTTTTCTTAAACCGTTAACTTCAATAAAGTGATATGTTTTAAATTATATGTTAAGTTGTAAATTTGAGACCATAAACACTTTGCCAGGCTTAAGCAAAACTGAAAAAAAAGAAACGAAACCAATTTTCTTTAAAAACATATTAAGCAATTTTCTTAAGAAATTATTATTAAATACAATTGTGGCAATTGTTAGAGACAGCAATATACATACAACAAAGTATAATTATATTTAGCTTGAATGCCACACTCTAATTTCATAAGCACGCAATTGCAACATTATCGTCTTTGCAACATGCTGCTGCTGTTGTTTTAAATAAGAAGTGTTGGCAAAATATGCAAATAAACAAACACATACATTAAAATTTTTACAAACAAAACTTCAACAACAAAAAATTAAGATATTTGTGTAAAAAAAATATTTCAAAATTAAAGGAAAATTGCATAAAGAAAAAAATATTTCCCCAAATAAAATAAACATTTGGCCACATTTCATTAAACATTGTATGCAAGGTTTAAAAAATATTTATATTTTTTCAGCCTTACACTTTAAACGAATGCATTATTTAAATAATAAACAAATAAACAATTTAAAATAATAATAAAAAAATCTCTTTAAATGTTTTTGCAAAAAAAAAAAAAAAAAAAAAACAAAAACTGCACATGTTATTATTTCAAGCTATGGACAACAATTTTCGTTTATTTTGATGACCTGCTATAAACAAAAAAACAACACAAAATTAAATAAAACAACAAATTAAATATTAAACCATAAAAATAACCATAATATCAAACATTAAATGTTGTATAGTGCATTTAAATTTTTGTATTTAAAAAAAACTCTAACCATAGAATTTAATTTACAACTCTTTAAAAAAAATCACCTGAATATGTTTGTCTCTTTTTTTAATGTTGGTGTTAATTGTTTAAATAAATATCCATTTGAACTGTTTATTGTTGCTGAAGCTACTTAATACATGTTTAAGGTTTTTTTCCTCACACTGTATTTTTTTTATTGAATTGTTAGATTTGTTATTAAACAGTTTTAGCTAAATTTGTTAAACATAAAAATATGTGTTAATATATTATGACAACAATTATTAAAAGCAGTTTAATATGATTTAAATTATTGAAATTAGTTTAAAAGTAAATGTACCGTGAAAGATACTAAAAAAGAGGGGGAAGAAAGTACAGTGGAAAGAAAAATAGAGTTAATGAAGAAAATGTTAAGACCGAAGGACCATATAGAGTTATTTAAAGTAGAATAGTTTAAGGCCGAAGGACCTTATAGTTTTAAGATAGATTAATATTTAGATTTTCTGTTTCGAACTTAAAATATGGTGGTAAAACATTAATCAATGTTTTGAGAAATGTAGCTGTCATTATTATTAGCAAATTTTTAATAAATAAAGTCTTAATATGTTTTATAGTTGCTGGCCGAAGGATCATGAAATTTTGTTTAATTTTACTTAAGAATAAAAATATTGCCAAAATTTCCTATAAAAAATAATTTCATATTTTTTTTAAATTTTATTTTAACAGATAAAATCTTGCAAAAATTTAAAAAAAAAATAAGATAAAGCTTTTATTTCTTAACAAAAGTTTGATTCCATAAGAAAAATTTAGAATTGCTTTATTAGTAGTTACACGAGTTTAAGCCAAAAGTGTATGATGTTTAGTTTTAAAATAAAATATTAATTAAAAATTGAATTACTTAAAACAAAATATTGATCTAAGTCTAATCTAATTAATCTAATTAATAAAACTATTGCAATAGC